GTTTATTTTTATTGTTTATTATTTACAGTATGTTTTTAAATCTTATCACCATCTGAAATTCAGCTTCTGTCAGTTTGAGTCCTGAGTGAAAGAACAAGACAGTTTAACATCCTCTGAGCAGCAGGAGGTGTTTGACAGGGGCCCACAGAGAGCTGTGTGGCGTTAAGCGAACATATAAACTCAACTTGAAGCCCATTAAACATGTCGSTCTGTTTCTGGAACGGTTTAAAACGCTAAAAGGTCAAGAGCTTATCTTTACRAGAGCTAACATTAACGCCGTTTGTCAAAACGATGTTTTTAATTTGCCATAGAGTCTTCAAAAACATCCCAGTAAAAGCAAGGTTTATTTGTTTAGACAGAGTAGCATTTAGTCTTCATTAAACCTCAAAATAGATTTATTTTAAGTTAGATAAAAGGGTTGTGAAAAGGTTTTGTGAATCTTTGTGAACATAAATAACCCTCATTACTTCCRGTATATTATGGGTGCAGTGATGAAGGGCATCCTGCAAAACAATTTTATTTTATTTATATCATCAGTGTGTGAATGTGAGTGTGAATGGGTGAATGTCTGTTAGTGTAAAGCGCTTTGGGGTCCGGAGGGACTTGAAAAAGCGCTCTATAAGTTCAGTACCATTTACCATTTACCATTTTACCATACTGTATATCCATGTCAACATAATAAAACATTTTCTGTTTTATTCGTTTCCTCCAGATGATGGCGCTTTCTTTCTATATCTATGTACTTATTTGTRTGTTTCTGTTACACGTGTGTTATTGTTGCAGTTTTAGACTGTAAAACAGCTGGTTGGAGCATTTTTGTGTAGTTTACCCTGTAAATACAGTCATGGAGATTTCCAAATAAAGGTCTGGGCTTTTTTTCATTTACATGAAAACAGGAAAAAAGCATCACAGATGCTGTTATTTTATGTCATTGTTTACTCTGTCTTTAACCAACAAGACTTTTATTATTCTGCTTTATAAAGAAACAATAAAAAAAGTTAAATCACTGTTAATGTTAAACCTGTAAAATGTGATAATTTGACCTAAAAGGGCTAAAGCTGATTCGTTTGAAAAAAAAAAAGTTGTTTCTTTGTTTTGAAATTTTAATAAATGATAAACTAAAGGTGGAATAAATCAGGGCTGGTGTCACGTCTGCTGCACAGAAAATTAAACCTGAAAGAAAAAAATATTATAGGTCTTCTGGACGGGTTCTTCTCTAATGAAACGTTTCGTCTCTCCTCCAAGAGACTTCTTCAGTCCCTGGCTCCTGGGTTTGTAGGGAGAAAGAGAAATCACACACACGACAGGCCCTGGAGCAGTGTGGTTATCC